TAAACACACTGGCAACCATAGAAAAAGCTGGCAACGTTGTCAATAGCCTAGTGACGTAATTAGGAGATTTTTTTTTGTAAATATCTCGAAAACGGTAAACTCAATTGAAATTCCGATTTCACAGAAATGTTTAATGTTTAAAATTACAAAACGCCTTGAATAAAACCATAAAAAGTATAGGTCAGAAAAAATTTAACTACCCCATTGTTTGAGTGAACACAGTGTCGTAGAAACGGGGGTTGCTCTAAGCTTATTGTTTCATACAAACTTTGAGGTTAGGTTTTTAAAACATTTGATGCAATTTTTTGATTACTCCGTTCGGCTACTATTAAAAAGGTAGGTATACTTCTCAAACTTCGATAAAATAAACCGTTTCCGAGAAATTCGAGATTACAATAATTGTTATATCGCATTAAAGGTTTAAAAGGTATATGATAACAATTTTTATTTTTTTATTGAAAAAACTAAAAAGGGCATTTCGTGAGCCTCGGAAATTTTTGCCTGACCGTCACATTAAAAAATTGGGTTTAAAAACCACTGTAATTAAATTTATTTTTAAATATTATTGTCTATTATTTTTATACTCGTAATGAGGATATAAGCATAGTATATAATATTTCAAAAAAAATTTAATAATACCGTTTTAATTACAGTGGTTTTACTTAAAGTTTTTTTATTGTGACGGTCGGAAAATAAACTCCCGAGTCTCGTGGAATGCCTCCAAATTAGAATGAAGAAACAGATATTAAACAAAATGTCTACAATTTATAACAGTTGTTCAAAATGACCCCCACCAGCACGCACACATGCCCGAAGTCGTCTTTCGAGGGAAAAGGTAAGTCTTCGCAAATCAAACTCTTGATTTTGGATAACAGTCTCCAACCTCTCTCTAAGCTCTTCCACGGTTTCTACCTTTGCTTTGATTTGTCCCCAGACAGAAAAATCCAAAGGATTCAAATCGGGGGATCGTGCTGGCCAATTTATTGGTGCGTCCACTCCCCGCCCAATCCAGCGATTTGGAAAATGTTGGGATAACCATTGCCTTGCTAATCTGCTGTAGTGTGGTGGAGCTCCATCGTGCATAAACCATAAGTTTATTCTGGGTTGCAAATTGATATCCTCCAAAAAATTAAATAAATTGTTGGACAAAAATTGGTGATACATATTACCATTTAAATTATGTGGAGACACAAATTTTCCCAGAAATCCATTACCCTCTGTTGCAGCCCAAACATTTATTTTGAATTGATAATGGGTTACAATTGTGGCTAATGTTGGGATAACCATTGCCTTGCTAATCTGCTGTAGCTCCAGCGTGCATAAACCACTGCATTGTTACGTTGTAATTTTGGTGTGCCTTGGAAAATTTTGTGACTGTCAAATAATTTCTTAACTTATAAATACCCTAGTGTTATTTTGTTAAAAGAAAATTTTTACTTTAACAATTATGGAGCATTACACAAACAGAGATTATACGGACATGCTTTTGATACTAGGAGAATGTCGAGGAAATTCAGTTGCAGCAGCTAGATTGTACAGGGAAAGGTTCCAACACAGAATCACGCCCAACAGAAAAACATTTTTAGCTGTCGAACGTCGTTGTCGCGAAACCGGGAGTGTGCAACCTAAACAAGGAAAAAACGGAGGTAAAAGATGAACAGCCAGAACCGTTGAAAACGAGGAAAACATTTTGCAGATAGTGGATGAAAATCCAAGTGTGAGTGTAAGACGCTTGAAGGCTCAAACAAATATTTTCTGAAACGTTGCTTGGAGAATTTTAAAAGAACAGTTAATGTATCCATATCATTTAAGACAAGTTCAAGAACTCTTACCAGAAGATAGACTAGCACCGTGCTAGTAGCACGTGTTCATTTTTAATAATAATAATAATAATAATAATAATAATTTATTTCCAACAGGAATACACCCAATTACAGGAAATGTTATTAACAGTACAGTAAAATAAACAATGAACAACATTTCAGATAAATTAAAATCTGCCAAAAAAACATTCAATAATATATGATAGGGGACTATTGTGAATATCACATATATCACTTATGCTATTAAACAAAGTACATATTCTAAATATAGGTGAGCATTGCATTACATTAGTTCTTGGTGCTAGAAGATAAAAAGTATCAGAGTTTCTTGAGTTAAATCTTGGCACTAAGAATTTTAAAGAACTTAATAAAAATGGACAGTCTATTTTATTGTTACATAGATTATAAATAAAATTTAACGCAATTCTATTTCTGCGATCCTGCAAAGAATCCAGAGAGAATCTATTTAATAAGTAATTATTGTCTATGCCTCTTTCAGGGTAAATTCGATCCTCCTTATAAGCGAGATACTTCAAGAACTTTCTCTGGACAGCCTCGATTTTTACGGATGAGGCAACGTTTACTAGGAATGGAGTGTTTAATATGCACAACTCTCATATCTGGGCAGACGAAAACCCTAGAGCCACAATTGTAACCCATTATCAACACCAATTCAAAATAAATGTTTGGGCTGCAACAGTGGGTAATAGATTTCTGGGAAATTTTCTGTTTCCACATAATTTAAATGGTAATACCTATGTAAGGCCCGGATTTTAGGTAAAACACCTTTTGTTGGTTTTTTTGTATTTGCCCGTTTTATAAAAAATGGAGTCATCTGACTAAGTTTTATTTGACCTAAAATACCTTTTTTATATTTTTTTCACCTATTTTCCTTTTTTGCACCTAAATTGTATTTTTAATACCTAAAATGAACTTTTTTTACCCGTCCTGTGACGTTAAACGATCATTCTCTTGGTTTAAAAATGTTTTGACTGATAAACGCACTAGCTTTACTTCTGAAAACTTTTTTATTATTATTTTTTTAATGTGCTTTCAACAGGCACCAGGCCCAATTACAGAAGTACACAATGACAAACACAAATAAACAGCCATACCCCTGGTGGGATTCGAACCCACGACCACTCGGCTTGTAGTCCGCAGTGCTAACTACTACACCACCGAGGGCGAAACTTGGAGAAATATTTTGTCTGTCATGCATATAATCGTTAAATAAATTAATAAAATTTATTTTTTTTGATTTTTGAGTTCCTATTTTGTTTTTTTTTGTAATTTTAGAGTTCCTATTATGTTTTTTTTTTGCTATTTTACATTACTTTTTTAAAGAATCTTTTTTTTTTATTTTTTATTTTTCCAACCAAACATTTTTGTTCAGTTAATGTTAATAATAAATATTATTTTTAATAATAATATAATTTCATTTTTAATTTAAATCCTTTATTGCCGAAAATTAACAGAGCAATTACAGACCTACATATGTATGGTTTTACAACGATATCGACATTATAATGAAAACATTTTATTTCAATAAATCAGTTTATTTTTTTATTTAAGTACCTAAAATGTAGGCACCTAAAATAATAACCTAATTTTATAACTATGTGACCTATTTTTTACCTTTTTTTTTACTTTTTTATAACCTAAAAATACGGGCCAACCAATATTAACTTTTTAATTAAGTACCTACCTAAAATATAGGTACCTAAAATAATAACCTATTTTATTAAAAATATCACCTAATTTAGGATCCTTTTATCACTTTTTCATGACCTAAAAATCCGGGCCTTAGTAATATGTATCACCAATTTTTGTCCAACAATTTATTTGATTTTTTGTAGGATATCAATTTGCAACCCAGAATAAACTTATGGTTTATGCACGATGGAGCTCCACCACACTACACAGATTAGCAAGGCAATGGTTATCCCAACATTTTCCAAATCGCTGGATTGGGCGGGGAGTGGACGCGCCAATAAATTGGCCAGCACGATCCCCCGATTTGAATCCTTTGAATCAAAGCAAAGGTAGAAACCGTGGAAGAGCTTAGACAGAGGTTGGAGACTGTTATCCAAAATCAAGAGTTTGATTTGCGAATACTTACCTTTTCCCTCGAAAGACGACTTCGGGCACGGTGGGGGTCATTTTGAACAACTGTTGTAGAAATTTTGTTTAATATCTGTTTCTTCATTCTAATTTGGAGGCATTCCACGAGACTCGGGAGTTTATTTTCCGACCGTCACAATAAAAAACTTTAAGTAAAACCACCATAATTAAAACGGTATTATTAAATTTATTTTGAAATATTATTATTTACTATGCTTATATGCTCATTACGAGTATAAAAATAATAGACAATAATATTTAAAAATAAATTTAATTACAGTGGGTTTTAAACCCAATTTTTTAATGTGGCGGTCAGGGCAAAAATTTTCGAGGCTCACGAAATGCTCTTTTTAGTTTTTTCAATCAAAAAATAAAAATTGTTATCATATACCTTTTAAACCTTTAATGCGATATAACAATTATTGTAATCTCGAATTTCTCGGAAACGGTTTATTTTATCGAAGTTTGAGAAGGATACCTTTTTAATAGTAGCCGAACGGAGTAATCAAAAAATTGCATCAAATGTTTTAAAAACCTAACCTCAAAGTTTGTATGAGACAATAAGCTTAGACACTGTGTTCACTCAAACAATTGTAATTATGTGTGAATATGTGTATTGGTAGTAAGTGACTGTTTGCAAAATATCACCTTTCTAAGTTTACCATAGAAGAAGTTATTTAAAAAAAACTCATATGATAAGTAACACTTTATCACCCTGTATCTTGAAAACTGAAGTAATTAGGAAAAATATTTATTTAGGTTTTCGTCTTATTTTGACTTGCTCAATCTTTTCCTAAATTTATGCCACTAAGTTTAGGGACACCTTGTATAATAACCTACATAATTTTTTTAAATTAATATATTAATGGGAATAGTATTACCATAAGCATACTTGATATCACATCTACAAGAAACAAAATCTCCTCTGCATGCCCTGATTAGTGGTCAAAACATGTAAACAAATGTACTTTTTTTTAATTACCAACGTATAAATATTCTCATAACTTACTTTTCTATTATCAGTTGTGTTGTGTTTGCCAATTTGTTCAGTAGAACATGTTTAAATTTGTGATTTTATCCTGTGCTGTAGCGTGGGCAGCTGCTCATCCTGGATTACTTGGAGGAGGAATCGGACTGGGAGGTGGTTATGGAGGAGGAAGTTTGGGCGTAGGATTAGGTGGAGGATTATCAGGATTGGGTGGTGGGAATTTAGGAGGAGCTGGAATAAGTGGAGGTAATCTTTTGTATTTTAATGAAGCAATTAATTTAATTTAATTAAATGTTTTGGTTGATTATAATGGCTACCAAGTAACTTTAATTAATTTTATTTTAGATAATCCAGTATTTATTTATGTACATTATTTTAAAGAGGTTTTTTAATTGTATTAGACTAAATGCCAACAAACTCAATTATTTAATTAAGGAGATGTTCATATGTTTTCATAAGGTTTTGCCTTATATACCTACTTGTCTATAACTAAACAATCCTATACAAATAATAGAGGGACACAACTTTAAAAAAGGGGTTCTGAAATCAAAAAACATATAATAGAAATGTCGGTTTATAAAAAACAACTTGAGAGTAGAAAAAAATATCCAATTTTAATAAAAAAGTCTATTCATAAATTTTTACACCATATGATATGTAGCTTATAGCTGTAATGATTAATCATAAATTCCTGTTGATCATTTATTGCTTATCTCCCAAGACGTAATATGGTAGTAAAACTCCAATAGATTAGTAATGGTTTCTTGTAGGCTGGTTCGTTTTGAAAAGTTGTAGTGACGCGTCATGGCCTAAGGCCAGTAATTGTAAGTAGTAGAATTCGTGCCTAATTTTCTCCCTTTCTTCTGCTAGTAAACTTATTTGGAACTAATAAAAAACCTTTGTGGGAAATAACTCCATGTGAAATTTTGTTGGCAAATATTTCAGATGACAAAACATGTAGCTTATGCCATGCATAATCAATTGCCATGCATACTCAAAAAGTAGTTTTACCAACTAAAAGTCTTTTTAAGCCACTTCTTATAAAATACGAAAATAAACATGTTCTTTAATTATACTTATAATTAGGAATGGTCACGTTTAAAGGTAATCATGTAAATTGTAATTAATTAATAATTATTATATTTCATCCATATATATTATTATATTATATACATTATTCAGATCATCAAATTGCAAATAGTTTTTAAAACTGGATATAATGTAGGCCTACACTGTAGGTTGTAAATAAAAGCAATACTGATAGTTTCTATGATTATTATCACAAAGGGGAGATTATTTAAAAAACAGTTTATTTTTTTAATAAACCGCATTATTCAATGTATTTAAAGCATTTAAATATTAATTAAAGGCTATCAAACCATACATGCTGCTCCAGTTCATATTCCGACAGCTACAAGTAGCCAACAAAGAATCGACGTGATTAATCCTACAGCTGTCAGGACTGTTCAAAGTGTACACAATGTAGCTGTCCAAACACCTGTTGCCATATCTACTCCCGTTGTATCTACTGTAGCTGTATCCAGCCAAGGATCTGCTATTACTTCTCAAGGAAATGGTAATTAATCTTTTGTTGAGTGGTTAATAATGCACTGATTGTATTCGGAATTGCTGATAACTAATGACATTCATTTCTTCCGCTGTGAACATTCTTATTCCTTACCCTGTATATATTTTCATTTCCTTCCTGTTACCAGGTAAGAGATGTTTCATTCAGATTTTAATTTTGACACAAGTTTTTTGCGAGGAATCGCAATTACTTCCTCAACTTTCATATTCGGGAGTAATTGCTATGATTCCACGCTCGGTAAACAATATGCTATTATTGTCTTATCTTAGTTATTAAAATCGTTTGTTTTTAGGTTATGCTGGATATGGTTTAGGTGGCGGGCTTGGAGGAGTGGCAGGAATCGGTGGATCAGGATCGGGAGGATTAGGTTTGGGAGGTGGACTTGGAAGTGGATCAGGATTAGGTGGAGGAATTGGAGTGAGCTATGGAATTGGACATTAAATACGACTTATTAATCTTATATTGACAATATATTACATGTACATTTGCCATTCTTTATTATATGCATAATAAATATGTATAAGAAATAGCTTGAATTATTTCTTGTTTAAGAACCTAAAATTGCGTCACCCTGTACATTGTACAATATTGTTTTTTACTTTTTATGAACTAAAATAATTTGTTATTCATTTATGTTAAACCGAAAATTACTCTCGAGATGAAAGATTACATGCATGCAACATTATTCGAAACACTGGATTTCCTTAAATTGTATTGGTTTTTCTCACAAATTAAATTTCAGGGTTAATTGTTTTACAGCATATTTAAAAGTAGGGATAATAAGTAAACATCAAATAAGTGCTATATATTGAAATATGATTGATTCATTTTTTTAGTAACAATCCATTGTTTTATTTATCTGAAAGTTGGCTTGTAAATATGTGGAAAGTGTTAGTACTACTGTGTTTTATAGACATTTCTAAATCTGATAGTCCTCCATATAATTATCCACCAACAGCGGTGAGTTTTACCGATAGAGTGGATATTTTTGAGAATGCTGGCCCTAGAAATCCGATATACAATAGATCATTAGTACCAAAAGTGTTTCCGTACCCATATGTATCAGGTTATAGATACGAATTACCTCTTGAGAATTACTACAGATCACCACGTCCGTACCTACCAGTAAGTGGGTATTCATTGCATCCTCCATTCGTTGCCTCTGGATATAATTATAAAATTGTGAACCCATATCCTCTAAAAAATGAGAATAAAAACAGTTATGGTAGAAGAAAAGAATATTTACCCGGACCATTTGGTACAGCTTTGACAAACTATCCTGGAACAACAACTACAACTCGCCCTATAGGCGAAATAATTAAAAATAACAAATTTATTTCCAATAGCGCGGAAATTATGAGCATGTAAAAATATAATTTTAATAAAACTCACTTTAATGTTATTAATTTTTTTATATATTATCTTGGACACATATTTACCTTAGGGTAAGTAAACCACAATTAATTAAAAATGAATATATATTGTACTTAATTACCAATTATAATTTTACATTATAATTAGATAAATAAAACTATAATGTTATTAATTAACAAACAATTATAGGCCAAGCAATGTTTATTAACTTAAATTGCACATAAGTAGGTTCTTTGGTTCAAGACCATTGCGATTGTTGTTGGTGATTATAATTTTTTCTACAAATAATTGTAAAAAATGTAAATAGGTATATAAATATATGTAAAATTTATTTGTCAGATTAAATTGATTTAGTTTAGATAGTTAGTTAACCTTAATAATTGTTAATTAAATATTTGTACCTTTTTAGAAATTTTTTTTATTTTTTCACTATTTTTGTGATAATCGGTGCAAGTTAAAATAATTACAGCTAACCTCTCCACGCGTTATAACTTGGCGAGAACGCCCTATGCTCAGTTGACGTAATTTCGTAATGGTACCGCCCTTCAAGTTCAGTTTGGCAAAGCTGTTCGCGCCTATTCAATATAAACTTTTAATTTTTGTTGGCTATTTGTTCAATTTATTGTATAGAAAGTATACCCAAATTTCATAGTATGGCAAAATTATTGATAGTTAAAAAATATATTAAATTAAAAAATTAAATGTAACAAAGTAGTAAAATCTTAAAAGGTACCTTATAATGATACAAGTACGTCGTAAAGTATATTTTACCTGTATAAAAAACACTTTTTAAGTAAAGGTAACAAAGCAGTAAAATTTAAAAAAGTACCTTAATTATTTAAATATACCTAAATAGGTATATAATCATTATACATATACCTATATAATCATTATACATATATATATATATATATATATATATTATATATAGTTCTCGTGATATAATATATATATTATATCACGAGAACTATGAATTTAATCGGTTAAACTAGGCTCAGTAGTTTTTTGTTTGGTTTTTCTTGGAAAATGTTGAATGCAAAATAATTTAATAAAATCACGAGACCGCGTAGCGGTCGAGGGGTTTTATTTTTAATTATTTTGCATGAAACTATTTTCCAAAAAGAAAAATCAAATAAAAAACTTACTGAGCATAGTTTGGCAGAATAAATTTATAGGTTGAGTGATGTAAAATACCCAGGTATTTACCCAAATAGGGTATTTACCCGGGTATTTACCCAAAGAGGGTATTTATAGGGGTATTTCGATTTAAATCTTGCATAAAAATAGCTTGAAATCAATAAATAGTTTTATTCAATATAGTGAAGTATACTGTAGTAGTACCTACCTTAGATCTTAGATAATATTATTTAAAACTTGGTTTTTTGAATTTTTCACAAAAATTTTGAGGTTATGTAAAAAAATTGTAATTACAAAAGTTGTAGATCCTTTTATTACCTACAACTTTGCCATTTAACTTTTTTCCATAGGACTTGTAGTTTTGCCGGAAATCGAGATAAACCATTTTTTACACTTAAAACCCCCCCTCCCACTTCCCGAAGTCAGATCGCCCGTAATTTATTTTTCCTTTCATTTTTATTATATTTTTCTCCTTTTCCAATGGGTTTCATCCTACTGTTATTTTTTTTGGTTTAAAAAATTATCGACCCTGGTCTATGTGTTAACAATTAAGCGGTTTTCCATGATTAAGTGCGTTCAGAGACAATTCTAGTACGTTTATGTTTATAAGGTTTAATAGGGAAGTTTAATATTATTTAAAGTATAAATAATAATGCATTTATCAAAAATACCCAGTTTTGGGTAGGTAAATAAAATTTGGGTATTTGCCCAGGTATTTACCCAAATTTTATTTACCTACCCACTGGGTATTTACCCTATCTACATCACTAGTTGAGTGATATACGTGGGATTCTGTAAAGAAAAGAAATAGAAATGGAAATAGAGATAGCAAAGAAATAGAAAGACATGTCCTTTTTACAACCTATTCTGTATGACGATTTCTTTCTTGGCCGACGATGTTCGGTTTTTAGATCGGTAATGTTCGACTGAAAGAAATTTACTGTACTACCTATTTTAAAAACATTCATATTCTAGTAACTTTTTAAAAGTCCTTAAGATTTGCACCAATTTCACATAGTAATTTTTCGTTTTTAAGTTTAAGGTACTAAAAAATGGTTTTAACCTAAAAATAATAATATTTATTCTATAGTCGCGGCCAAATCTGTATGGGTGCACGTCATCAACGGCATATGACGTCAGCGTTAAGGTCTATTCATACGTGCCCAGACACAATCTAACGCTCGTGTATTGTTGACTGTTTATAGCGGTGGGGGCTGTTATTAAGATGGAATTATAACGTCCTTGTTATAATCTTCTGCACTAACTAATTAGGAGTTTGTTACAGGCAAATTTTTATTAAATGTGTTTAAAGAGAAAACAAACGGACTTTATTACATTTTTATTACATATGCACATAACAAAAAAATACTAAATTATCAAAAACACAAAAATAATAAATTACCAGTCGTCCTTGTCATTAGAGCAAACCAGGTCAGAAGTCTGATTATTTCCCCAAATTTATTATTAAGGGCGCAATGTCTTCGAAATCTAATAACGGCTAGTTGCCAACAAGCCTTATATCATTGTTTGCACAATCCAGGGATTGAATCTTATAAACATAATGTATAATATTATTTATAATAATTTGCAACAAACGATGCTTCCGGACGAAATGTCACAATTGACCATATGCAAGGAATGCGGTCGATGGTAAAAAAATAAAATTCCCTATTGGGAACATTCAATTATATTACGTTGGCTACACTGAAATTTTGAATTTCCCGCACAAACTGACATACATTCTAGGAGTTCCCAGAGATAAAGAAGGTAGTTCCAATGTTGTATAATAAATTAAGGTGCGAATTTCAAATGTGGGATTTATTATTATTTATTATTATTAAAAAAAAAAAGATGGAAATTAATTTAGTTCGTGCGGGAAATTCAAATTTTCAATGTAGCCAACGTAATATAATTGAATGTTCCCAATAGGGAATTTTATTTTTTTATCATTGGCAACATCAACCGCATTCCTTGCATATGGTCAATTACAAAAATACGTCAAATATAAAATGACAGCGACCCATCAATAATATTGAACGGTGCGCGCCAGCCTTAAGCTATTACCAACTGGCACACACAAAAATTACTAAGTGAATGGTTTTATTTTGATAATTTCGTGAAAAAAACGTTTTAAAACAAGGAAATTGTTGGTAAACAATACGCAAATGAATGATTTCTTTTTAATAACACATCAGAATTACGCCTTAAAAAAGTAAATTTAACGGCAGTAACTTTACAATTCAAAGTTGGTAATGCTGACGTCATTATATCTCATTGATGACGTGCACCCATATAGATTTGGCCGTCACTATACATATATGGTTATAATCACAGACCTACAAACAGTAGGTCTGTGGTTCGAGTTCGGTTTTGGTTCTCGTGTCTGTCGGTTGCTCTATGAAAAAGTATTTGAAAAATAAGTGACTTCTCGACCCAGGAGAGGCAAAATCGGACTCCCAGTGTAAAAACAAACTGGTTTTAACCAAGAATTTGCAAAAATATATGAAAATACTTAAGAGATGGATCGGATGATTGAAGATTAAAGATAATTGGAAAATTCTGTGTATGAAGCCATGTGTACATAGTGAAGCGAAAAGATGACATGGTTCTATAAAATTTTATAAATAATTAACAATATATAAATGATTCAAGGGATGAGTTAATCTCAGATTCTTTTAAATAAGACCCTTGATCATAATAAAGAAAATTTAATAATATAATGTGCTGGCCAAATAGCTTTTAAATTAAGGTAAAGGTCATTCCTCTGAACACAGAATTGTGTTCAGAATTAAGAAGAAGAAGAAGAAGGTCTGTGGTTATAATACTTATTTTGTGATTGTTTATAAATATTTTTTTTAACCATGCAGAACATTGAAACGTAAAGTAATAGAGCACATATTAGAGCTCATAACTGTGTTAAACGTTGCATATAGATCTGTGGAAATCGAGATACAGTCCGCAGGTTTGTGGCATAATAAATGCATGTGCTGTGCTGCACAATATTTGTGTACGAAACGGCATGCCGTAACGTTTGTCCAATTCATTGTTCATTGAAATATAAATTAACAATTGCATTTCGCGAACGGACTGCTTCATTTAGAACATTGTGCTCACCAACAATTGGATCATCTAAGGGGATGATCTAAGGGGATCAACCCCTTAGATGATCCAATTGTTGATGAGCACAATGTTCTAAATGAAGGAGTCCGTTCGCGAAATGCAATTGTTAATTTATATTTTAATGAACAATGAATTGGACTAACGTTACATCGTCAAGAAACACACTGAAATGATCAATAATATTTTATCCTTTAATAATAATAGCTGTTATTATTATTATATTTGCTAATTATTTCATATATATATTTCTTTAAAAAAATTATGTGATGTTTTTTTAGATTTAATAACTATTAATGTAATTTTTATATCTATTGACATGTGTAACTTAAAACGAAATAAATAATTGAATTGAATAGTTATATATACTTACCTACATACTTTTTTATATACTAACTTACTTTGTTTTGTTTACGTATACCGAAAGCATTAAAATATAACCTTTAAAAGTTGCTTAATTATGTTGGAAATGTCAAAAACCCTCTTTCTATTTCTATCCGTTCGGCTACGAACGATGGTTCACGGAAACGCACGAAGTGACTTACAGAATAGCGATTTGGTAATAAATATAGAAAGAAATTTATTGCTATGCTTTATGTGCTTACATAATTAAAGGAAACTATTTGACAATTCATAAAATCTTTAACCCATTAATTTAAGGTATGTAATAAGTAATAATTGATATTTCGTAAACTAGATAACTTATTTTTTATTGTTTTTTAAAAAATGTTTGTTAAAACTTGTAAATAACACCATAAAATCGTAAACAAAAATCCAATATGGAGGCTAAATTTTAATCGCTGTTAAATAGTTCTAGTGATTTAATCGCTTATTTAAACGAAATTTATTCGAAAATTCAAGGGAAATAATCAATATTAAACATTACCAAAAAATAATCTAAGAAGCAATATTGTCAATTGAAGAAGTAATGGCGGAAACGAAAAATACACATAATAAAGTTCTTGAAAGTCAAGCTCGAGAAATTATTTCTTATGTTTTTAATTATTTTAAAAATAATAAAACTGAGTACAATATTAAACCTAAATATAAAATAATTACAAATTATTTTGTGTTTATCTCACAAAATTTAATCTTAATCTTCAACGCCGCTGGTAGGGAGTAAACAAGTGCCAACGGCTACGCCCACATCCTTCAGGCTTCGCCAAGTTATAACGCCCGGACTGTAGCTAACCTTACTTATTAGGTAATAGGTACTTACTGACCTTCTTTACATTTTTTATTCGCGTGCAAAAAAATTGTATACCAGTATTACTTATTTGTCTAGTAACTTTTGCTTTATTATATTGTCGTTGTAAAATTTGATAATAGTTGTCAATTGCAATATTAAAAATGCCACCCCACTTAACCAAGGCTCAGAGGTCCAGGGCAATAGCCAAATTATAAGAAAATTGGTCTTTAAGTGAAGTAGCTGCAGATTTAAATGTCAGTAAAAGCTGCATATTTTATATCAAAAAACGTTGGCAAGAACAACAAAGATTAAGAAGACCTATCAGGCAAGATGTAGGAAAAATCTGCAACGAAAATGAAGACAATGTCTTGTCGAACATATTAGGCAAAATCCTTTCAATAGCGCAGTTAAGGCCCGAGAAGATACACAATTTCCAGGATCTCTTCGAACAGCTCAAAAAAGATTGAAACAAGCTGGTTTAAAAAACTGTGCTGCTGCTCATAAGGTTTTTTTAACTGACGAAAATAAGCGCAGGAGAGTCCAGTTCGCCAATGACTATTTAAATTATGGAGACGATTTTTGGAATAATGTTATATTTTCGGATAAAAAAACGTTCAAATCTTGCAATAATGGAAGGCTGCGTGTATATCGTCCAAGAAACGCAAGATTTGAGGAGAACTATACATTAAGAACCTCAAATAGTGGACGCTTTTCCATAAATGTTTGGGCGTGGATAAGCATCCATGGTCCGGGAGTATGTTGGGAAATTGATGGTAGATTAACGGCTGAGCACTACACGAGGATTTTGGACAACGTTATGCTACCTTCAGTTAGACATGTGTTTCCAGAAAACTTTATATTCCAACATGTAAGAAAACTGTATAGTATTCAAAAACGATTCTAATAAATATTATATTACAGGACAATGCACCAGTTCACACAGCTCGAGTGGTTACAGAGTGGGTAAACAACAACCACATAACTATTTTGCCATGGCCAGCTAGAAGCCCTGACTTAAACCCCATTGAAAACGTGTGGGGTTTTATAGTTAAAAATATCATACGACATGCGTGAGCTAATAATGTCCATGCCAAGAAGGTTGCAAAGGGTTGTGGCAGCTAATGGCTCAGCAATTAAGTATTAAAATAGCTTAGCAGCACAGTTTTTTAAGCCAGCTTGTTTCAATCTTTTTTGCGCTGTTCGACACGGTGTGCCTGAACGAAGTTTAAGTCACATAAAAATGACGCCAAAAACTGATTGCAGTTCGGGACCCTTAGGTGAATTAAAAATGATATTTACCAAAATCCTAGCTAATCCTCTTTTCGAAATTTTTTTTAAAATTTATGATTTTTTTTTTAATTTAAATAGAACCTTAAAATCCCTAATTGTCCATTGTTATACAACCAATTTTTGGTAGGTATATATTTAAAGAATAATCATGTAACAACAAAACAGTTTTGAAATAACCAAGACAATTTTTTCTAGATATTTTTCCTAAAAATATAATTATCTGTTATTCTGTTAACCTTTTTGTGCGTAGTTTAAATAATTAAAACACATTTAAAAATAAAACGGTTTATCATCAATAAATTAAAAACTTTAATATACTTTAACACACGGTATTTTTTTATAAAAATTGCACCTCAAAAATATTAAGCTTATCTTCAAAAGTACGATTTTGAAAGATACCCATTGCCTCCGTAGTAACTACCATATCCTTTTTTGTAAGGATACCCTAATGTGTTGTATCCACCATATCCACCATATCCTCCATATCCGCCATATCCACCATATCCATAGTCACCGTCCAAGTATCCGGAATCATATCCCGAATCATAAGCTCCATATTCATAGGGTGACCCATAGTAATCGTATCTTTTAACGTAACTGGATGCTGCTGGATACGAGTTGTATCCATATCCAATATCATAGGGACGGGGTGCACTGAACACTACACAAACTGCACACATTAACACAAAGGTTTTCAACATGTTTGTCGTTTTTACGTAATGAATAATTTTTACTGTCACGACTTAAATCAGAATTGGTTTATATAATAATCCCTACTTAATTAATATAAGTATTTTAACCCTGAAGTAAAAAAAAAATTATTGATATAATGAAGAAGTTTCATGGTAAATAAGCACAATATTGTGATCAGGTGGTTTTGCATTGTTTTTATATCAAATCATAAAAATTTAATTTATCTAACCTAAATCATATTAAGTGTGTAAATAATTATTTAAATTTTGATTCGATTAATAAACGTATGCGACCTAATATGTAAAATAAAATATGAATTAAAACTTAATTTTTATAAACAATTAAGATTGATTTATAAATGTATCCATTCCCAATAAAAATTTAAAGATACGTTAGAAAGGGTAAAGAAAATAAAAATGCCATTAAGACACAAAATAATTCTAATTTTTTTCAGGATATTAAAAGCGACCATTTATGTCAAAATTAATAAAATCGTATTTTATTTATTATAACAGTAATTGACAACACTTATCTTAGAAATAATAATCAAACATATATAAAACATTTGCTTAACATTTAATAATTAGGATACCTATCTAATGGTTTTTTTGTATTTAAATTTTATTCTGAGATCTTTCTAAATTAAAACTTTTTTATTATTTTAATTTTTATAAAAAAACACCTAAAATATTTACCAATTTATAGATAATAAAAAATAAATGAAATAAAACTTTAATTTGACAGGAATTAAATTAATTAGATTATTGATATTGATAACTAATTTTTTTTAATTTAAAACATTAATTTTACCAATTTTCATGTTTTGTTAATTTTTAAACTCTCTGTATAATATAGGGTTTTTGATAAATTAGTTAAAAAACTGATTAGCTATAGCTAATCAGCTATAGCTATACTATAGTAAATTTATATTAGTAATATGTAAACCTAACCCAAGAGAGAAGTCTTAAAAAAAAATTACTACAAATATAGTTTAAGAATGCAAGTCACCTTTCTGCAGAATGGGACCAACCCACACCATGATGAAACTGAGAAAAAAGCTATCAAAGATTTTAATAATTTTAAAATTACCTGTTAATTTTATGCCGATTTTGGACTTACAGAGGTTTAAGGGATATAATTTAATAATTTCATCAGGTGGATTTTGTGCTGTTATGTGTAAGGGTGACGAAAAAAATGGGCTTTTGTTGGTTGGTTCCTTTCTGCAATTTATGAAAACTACTATCTGATGTATGTATGTATTTAAAGAAAAGCGACAATTATTTATTTCCAAACAAAATACAACTGATATTACTATTATAATGGTAATATGAATTAATTTTGATTCTATTTAAAATTCGTCCACATCATCTTCCAACCCCACCTCATCTTGTAAGCTACCAAAAAAATGCATCAAGACTTTATATTTTGCAGAAGCAGGAAATCTTTAAAGACTTTGGTAGTGGGTCTACCAGCCTGCTTTTTTACAAAAAAGATCCAACCCACTTGCAGATATTCTACAGATTCTAATTCTGGATTAGTAATCCACACTATTATTGAATGTTGGTTGGTTCAATGATTAATAGATTTCACTACACTTGTATTTTGGCTATGACCTATTTTGCAGATAAATTATACATACTTAATTAGTTCATAGGCTAAATATCTCAATTTTTTTGGTTTTGTGGGTTGGTTCCTTTCTGCAGAAAGGCGTCCAAGTGTAGATAGTGAAATTAATTCGCAAAATCGCAATGATTTCGCATCTCGTGCGCATCATCTAGAGTTAACGTCCGCCCCCAGCATCCTGAGATTAATAATCTCTCGCATCTTGTGCGCATCTCTGATGTTCTAAATTTAAATTTTATATTTAAAAAGATTAAAAAAGAATATATTCTTATATATATGTTAATGTTTTTAAGATATTTAGTTTTGGTACCTTATAATCCTTTTCCCCAATATACAAAAGGAAATAAACAATAAGGAGTTTTGCAAAATTATTTTCATTATGAAACCCCCCCCCAAAATGTTTAAAGTAACACAATAAATCAAGCCAACGATTTTTTCACCATTTAAGCTATCTATAGTTGTTGTTCAACTAAACTGCGCACCAGTCAATGTGTCGCGACCAAAAATTTCCTCCTTTTTTAAAACGACATAACTTTTTTGTTTCTTAAGCGATTTTATTTTGGTTTGTGATGTCTGCTAGCTCCATTCTCTGGAAATTCATGCTATAGATATGAAGCTCATGGTTCTTCAAGTAAATTTCCTACAGGGTGATATGTAAAACGGTGAAAAATTTCAATAACTTCATCCAAGCCCCGTTTGTAAAAAAAATATTTTTTTCTCGTTTTTACTTTGAAATAATGAAGTATTATGTCTTACCTTAAAACGTTTTTAAAATTTTTCGAATTGGAATCTTAGCAACAAAAATATGATTTTTTTTTTCAAAAGAGTACATTTGATGCTTTTTTGTAAGCAATACACTGGCCTTTTTCACTGTTTTACATATCACCCTGTAGTAAATTTACTTGAAGAACCGTTAGCTTCATATCTATAGCATGAATTGCCAGAGAATGGGGCTAGCAGACATCACAAACCAAAATAAAATCGTTTAAGAAACAAAAAAGTTATGTCGTTTTGAAAAAGGACGAAATTTTTGGTCGCATTGGACACATTGAGTGGTGCGCAGTTTAGTAGTTATAGTAGTAGTTGGGAATTAGTAGTAAAATATGAATTTATAAATGTCATTTTCATTTTATTATATAGGTATACAGACTGTATAGAATCAAGTAAGTAGGGCTGGAGACAAGGATGACAAATTATATTCTGATCATAGAAAAAGAAACAAACTTTAATTGGGCGTGGTTTAAACCAAGCCATTCGTAATTACGAACCATAGTTGCCAGGTTGTTTTAAATCAGAAGAGAACGATTATAATTATTTAATAAATAGTTCAATTTTAATTGTTTGAAACTTTAAAAATAACAAAAAAATTAATAATATGTCAAAAATAATTTGATTTAGTTAATTTTCTTACTTTTAATATTAAAAAATAAGAAAAACAACCCTTTTAGGAAACAATAATAGCATATGGCAACAGCGCGGCATGCAGTTTGATCTACTGTGTTTGTTCAGTAGTTCCGACGCTGTCGTAGGGAAATGTGTATAGTTTTTAAGAAATACATTTTCGCCATTAACTGGAATTTAATGGATTTTAAACAATACTTAGTTTTTATTTGCAGAAATGCATTAAAACAAAACATACGAATTCGATAAAAATAAAACCTATAAACTCTCAATCCCTACCACACTGGGCGGGGTTTGGCACTTGTTTTATTTAAGTGTATATATTCGTTTTAATACACACTGTATAAGAGATTTGTTCCTACCGAGCATTTGGACTGTCAAATGGACGTCAGTGACATGCCCCAGACAGCTAAGTATCAAACTCAATTTTAGCCAATAAACACAAAAGCCTTGCTATATCTCAATATTTGGCAATTTGTAGGGATTTCATGAAATCCATAACTTAATTGTGTAAATCAATATTTGCCCAATTATTTGTAGTGTTTAACGTTGGATTATTATTGATATTTTGTGACCATACGTTATTATTGCGAGTACACTCAGAGAAATATCATGTCATGAAAAGCATATGAAATGATATTAATTTAAATAATCGGGTAAATTTGATTCAAATAGAAAAAATGTAGTTTTATATTCATTTACCAACAGTTTTACAATGTTTTTAAACAATTTTAAAGTGTACTCTTTTTAAAATATGTATACAAAAAGAAATCTATTTATTTAATTGCCTTTCTCAACGTTATTTTAAAAATATATGTATTATACAATTGTTATACACCTTTTAATTTAATGAGAAACACCAATGACGCCAAAACATATTTGAATCCCTTTGAATTATTAGGGATTCAAATATGTTTTGGCGTCATTGGTGTTTCCCATTAAATTAATAGGTGCATAACAATTGTATAATACATATCTTTTTGAAACAACTTTGAGAAAGGCAATGAAATAAATGGATTTCTTTTTGTATATATATTTTAAATATAAAAACTACATTTTTTTCTATTTGAATCAAATTTACCCGATTATTTAAATTAATATAATTTCATATGCTTTTCATAACTTGATATTTCTCTGAGTGTATGCATAAAGTTATATTATTTATATATTCAACTCAAAAAATATATGTCTGAATTTTAAAAAATTAACATAAAGTTAATATTGGCTAAATGTTGCTTTTCAAGCATGAATTATTATATTGCCCAATAAAAACTCTATATGTAGGTATACGCAACTACACAGAGAAAAGTAATCTATTGATTTAAGAAAATGCATTTACTTGAAACAGTTTTTCTTGTATGAAGTAAAATTGTCTTATTCATAGTAACTTCTTGTTTACAATAATAAAATACTATTATTTGGTTGTAAATCATGAGTTTCTTGAAAACAACTTCTTGTTGTGATTAATTGTAAAGAAATATTTATTTAGAGCAATTAATTAACTTGTTTGGATATAGATTGTATGGATTCAGTTTTATCAAATGTTAATACAAGCATATAATATCTTATTTTAACAAAATAATAGAATTGAAACAATGTATGTCATATAATTAACGTAAACCCGTGATTTGTTTGTTTCAAAAATACATTTACTTGAAGCAAATACATATTTATTTGCTTTTATGTCCACGTGACTCGCGGAGCCAATTAGAGCATTTGACTCCAAAGACAAAGACGCTTGTCCGGCAGCCGGCAGCATTTGCAAACAAACTCGCAGAGCGTATATTTTTATGTTTAAGTGCTTATGTTTAATAGTATGGAAGAATTCTTCAAAGAAAATAATTTAACCCATTTGCTTTTTAGTTTTGTTGGTAAGTAAAAGTGATTTAGTTAATTAAAATTTTGTGTACCTATAGGTAGTTTGGAAACTACAAAGTTATATGATAATATGGGTACCTATTTTATTTTGGATCATGCATGTATC